CCCCAAAACCCCAAAACCCCAAAACCCCAATGAATAAGAATTCCTAAATATTTTGAATATGTAAATTTACAAAAATGGAAGATAAAAGCTCTTAAAGATATATTGGAGATTTAATATAAGACGGATTTTATGATAAACTGATCATCATAGGCTATCCTTATGATGAAGGGGCTAAGAACATTGGTGCTAGAGGAGGATCTGACTATGGTCCAGGTATCTACGAAATTTAGATTTATTTTTCATGTTTTAGATTCATTCAGAAGGTTTGTGAAAAAGATAGGTGTGATCAGGAATCCTGAATATTAAGTAGATATCTCTAAAGGCTTACCAAAAATATCTGACTATGGCAACATATAGATAGATACTCTTCCTGGCTAGCCCAAAGCATAAATATAGGAATTACTTAAAAAACTTTAGTAGAAAGTAGAGTTATGCATAAAGAGGGGAAATATTCCTTTTATTATTGGAGGGAGTAGAGATTTATTCGGAGCAGTCTCTGATGCTTTACAAAAAGAAAAATAAGAATCGAGAAATGCTTACATTTCAATAAGTCATAGATTAGATGTGGATGAGTCGACTAAAGATCATATTCCCCAATAAACTACGAATAAGCGTTATCTCTTGGAAAAGATGATGGCTCGAAAGAATGTACTCTATGAGTTTGGAACTCATGGTGTGAAAACCAGCCAAGAATAAGTAGAATTCTTTTAAGAAAGGAACCCTGAGGGGCATATTGAATGGATGAACCAAATTAGAAAAGTCTAGATGCAGCCAAATGGGCATTACTATACCTAAGCTGGACAGAAGTTTTACTAGCTCCTAGTTGAAAAGATTAATAAAGATGTGAATGTAGATTAAGTATATGTTAGCTTTAACCTTGAAAGTGTAGAAGCTGCAGTAGGTGTTACGACTAATAACACTGCAGGTGGCTTTACAAGTGAAGAAGCAATCGAAATAAGTTACTTAGCGGGACTATTTTCCCATAAGCTAGTTGCTATAGATATTAGTGAGTACAATCCATTTGTCGAGGATTGGAGAACTGGCAGATTAGTTGCAACAATGTTCTACTATTTCGCCTTAGGGTTGAGTTAGAGATTACAAGAACCTGTAGAATAAGTAAATGTTGATTTCATCACTTAATGACTTAAATTCAAATACTTTTAATATATTATGATTAAACAATATTAAAATTATTCTATGTATATGCAAATATTCATCAGTGATTATTGTAATTTGATCCTCTATATGAATTCATGGACTGCAGCTAATCGTTAACACTATTTTATCTCATGGCTACACTCTGCATTCTAGCTGCCTGACTCAGTAACTACTAGTCTTATAGATTACTCTCCAGGTCTAGTCCTGCAATGTCAAAAATATCATCATCCGATGGCACTCTGTTTAGATCGTTTTGCCCAGGCAAGAAGTCTAGCTTCAATGCTTTATTTATCTTGGCAAGTTACTTGTTTGCAATTATCTTGGCAACTCTATTGATATCTTCACTCAGTACTTTCACTACTTTGTTCTACAAATGTACTTATTATTCTAAATAAGTTACCATAATAATATTGTCGATCTTCTCAACATGAGCTTGCATTTGCTGATTTACAAATTGGTTATCATACATCTTATTGTACATAATGATAAGCATATCGAGTAGAAATGTTGAAACTTCACAGTAGTCTAGTTAAATAGGCTATATAAATGATTTGCAAAGCTAAATGATTTACCACTGAGTGACAGGAAAGCACCTTGAAGTTAGGAGTCTTAGGATCAATTTTAGTAGCATGAATCCTACTAGCAATAGAATTCTCACTTGAGAAATGTCCTCCTGCTGCAGAGGTCTTCATAATGTATTCTTCATAATTGTTATAATGCTATTCATAGAATGGTAGAACACTCTTGTATTGCATGTCTACTTTCATCTCTTCGTGATGATGATTAATTTTTTAACTCACTGGTTATGAAGGTGACCCTTTCAAGTCCTCATTTACATTTATATTTTAAGAGGCATATTGACTCAGAGACTGGCCAAGCTATTTACTTTCACTTGATTCAGCTGTAGAGATCAAACTCTCTCTATACTCCTCACTCTATAAATACCTCTTCTCTGCAGAGTATTAAAGCTTGGAGAAGGATTCTATATTCTAAGGCAAAACTGATCTTAATATAGCATTGTTTTCCAGTGAATTTGAGCCAGTCTGCTTTGTGTATAAATCGAATTCTTCAAACAACTATAGAAGAGTATAAATCTATTAGAGTATTATTCATGTCATCTATAATTACAGTATTTATGACATTTCCTAGATCAATGATCTTGCCAAGACTAAAGCCCAAATAGTAAAATCGTTCAGATCTATAGAAGTATTTAATAAATAGATGATTAAAGTTGATTAAATGATTACTTGACTTTCATTTCCTGAGTGCCAAACTATTGCATGAGGATCTTGGAGACACTTGACTTATTTAATTTGACACAGTTAAGCCAGAAGGTACCATCCTTGCCTATTGCATTTTATATATGTCTGAAAGATCTATGCCTCTTATGCACGAGGTATTCGATCTTCCTGCTGAACATCATCATGACTTTCTCATCCATTTTATTAAACTTTAATAATCTAACTAATCATAACATGGAAAAATGATAATTTAAATTTAAATCTTATTTTAATATTCATTAGAAAAAACTAGCAAATTATTTAATCCCCATCCATACTTGTAACATCGCTTTCCCTTCTCATTAGACTAGAGTGCCGCTAATGTAAAATGGGCAGTTTTATAGTAATAGACCTATTTACTACTCCCTAGTTATAATTGTCTATGACTACATCCTTCATTTGTTTGCCCATAAGGTTCTTTTGGAACTTAGTTAATCCAAATTTGCCCTTTGTTGTCTGATTCAAAGATTCCTTTCGATTAGCTAGGATTTTACGTTAGCCAATCAGCTCTGATTAGTTTTGATGATAGTCCATACTAATCCTTGGAGATGCTAGTTAAGAGGATCTGCTAGGAAGGTGATAAGATTCAGATAGTCTCTAAGTATTATTGATGCTGGACTGATTAGAGTTGTTTAAAAAGGAAAATTCCAAAATAGCAGGGTACTTTCTCTCCAATGAGATCAGTTTCGGTTTCAAAGCATAGTAAGGTTCGGCGGCTGGGATTGTAGTCTCCCCTTCCCTTATCAATACTGCTTTTACCAATGAAGACCGATCCTCACTGTTGTTCATCTCAGTCTTGCTTAATGGAGCCAGCACACTCTTCTCAAGTTGCTCCATCTTGAAACGACTACTTTTTCTTAATTAGGAAAGGTTTAGCTTTACTTTTTTCTCAATTAGATTTGAAAGGAACTGTCTTAAATTATTATCTGGATTGTTATTATACTTGGAAAAATTATTGTATCTTAATTCACTCTAAATTATTTTCTAGAAGCCATTATCTTCATTGTTACGACGTCTTTGTGGAGTGATACTGCTTTCAACTTGACGCATTCGCTCTGATGACAGATAAAAGGTCTTGGTCTTAGCAGAGTTCTCAAAGATTTTTTCAGGAGAGGACGGCAGGTTTTAGTAGTATTGATGTTATGAGGTAGAAATTTGAGATAACTCTTACGAATCATTTTCTCCTCCTATATTATTATTTATCACTGCTATATTTTGATCTTGAAGCTGAATGTGGTTTATTGATTCATCCTCAATCTTACTCAGCTTTATCCTATTGTAATCAGTTAGGGATTCTCTAGCTTTGTGCCTTTCTTTGAAAAGCTTAATTTTGATTGGCACCAGTTAAGGATTTTACCTATCCAAGGAGAAATAATTTAGCTTTGAATCATTAGTAGTTATATCTCGTGATTTACTAATGCCCTGATAATACATAGTTGATCCATATTAAGTTTTCCGCATTTGTGGAGGTGAACCTCCGATCTTGGACTGTCCAACCATCCTACTGTTCTGTTCTTGAAATAGCTTGGATTTCTGCTGATTCCTCTGCAGTATTTCCATTTGCAGAGTCCTATTCTTTAGGACTGTTTAGTTCGAATTAATATGCATTTTTATATTATTTAAAGACTTTTTTTAACTTTAAGACTTTATTTCAGCTTGAGGGGTTTTGGGGTTTTGGGGTTTTGGGG